ACCACTACCACTACCACTACCACTACCACTACCACTACCACTACCACTACCACTACCACTACCTACTACTACCACCTACTACCTACCTACTACATAGTACTTAATACCTAGTACCTAGTACTACTACTACTACTAATATTACTACTACTACGACCACCACCACCACTACCACTACCACTACCAACCACTACCACTACCACTACTACTACTATTACTACTACGACGACGACTCCTACTACTACTACCTACTGCTACTGCTACTGATACTGTTACTGCTACTCCTACTACCACCACCACCACCACGACTACTACTACTACTACTACTACTACTAACAACCACCACCACCACCACCTACTACTACCACCTACTACTACCGCCTACTACTATCACTGCCACTACTACGACGACGACGACTACTACTACTACCTACGGATACTGCTACTGATACTGTTACTGCTACTCCTACTACTACCACTACTACTTCCACTACTACTAGCAACCACCACCACCACCACCACCTACTACTACTACTACTACTACTACGACTACTACTACCACCTACTACCACCACCTACTACTACCACCTGCTACCCACCTACTACCTACTACATAGTACTTAGTACCTAGGACCTAGTACTACTACTACTACTACCACTACCACTACCACTACCACTACCACACTGCTACTACTACTACTACTATTACGACTACCACTACTACTACTACTGCTACTACTACTACTACTACCACTACCACTACCACTACCACTACACCACACTGCTACTACTACTACTACTATTACTACCACCACCACCACCACCACTACTGCCAACAACCACCACCACCACCACCAACTACTACTACCTGCCTACTACCTAGTACCTGGTACCTAGTGCTCTTACTACTACTACCACTACTACTACTACCACCACCACCACTACTACTACTACGGCTACTACTGCTACTGCTACTGCTCCAGCTGTTGCCACCACCACTACCACTACTACTACTACCACTACTACTACTACTACTACTACTACTACTAATACTACTACTACTTCTTCTTCTACTACCAACAGCAACAACCACTACCTACTACTACCACCTACTACCTACCTACTACCTAGTACCTGGTACCTAGTGCTACTACTACTACTACTACTACTACTACTACTACTACTACTACTGCCACTACTACTACTACTACCACCTAATTACCTTCCCACTACTACCACCACCACCACCACCACCACTACTACTGAGTCACTGATTTGGTCTTTTGGCCGTCATTGCACCATCTAATTGCAGCTTGTTGGCTCGAGACAGTGCTCGTGATCACTCTTGGTTGCCAAAATATTCGACACGACCAGCACTCAGACTTGCAATTCCTTTGGCGGCATCAGAAATGCACAGACTGATCTTGGCAAGCGCCGGCCCTTTGCCACCGCTGCTTAGCCCAGCTGCATCTATTCGTTGGGGTTCTTGTGAACTGCAAGCAATGTTTTATGTGCTTGCAGGGGCGACTTCGGAGGCTTCAAGGCCTTCGGCCTGAGAGTGTTGCTTGGCGGAGCACGCGTGAGGGCAGACTTGCCATACTTCACATACACTGACCAATGTGCCCACTCAGTGGGCAACCCTTTACCTTTTCGGACCAGTAACCTGAGGGAGTCGGCGTCGTGGAGGTGCAATCAATGTGTTGTTTTTTTACTTGTGGTGGGTCAAGGCAGGATTGCTCGTGGCCTTAAGGTGATGCTTGTTGATGATGAGAAGGAAAACTTGCAAAGTGCCAGCAGGTTTGCTTTGCGATACTGTGTCTCGGTTTGGCAGATTCAGATATGGTATGTCACGAGTTCAGTTTTGTTGGTTTTCATGTTGGCAATTGCAACGCAGTGATGCTGCCCTGAACCTACCAAACCAACACATATACGGGGTTCGAGACATATGTTATGGGGTCTTAATCTATTGGTGTTTCCTCCGTTACCTTTGTGTGCTCGTCGTGCTGGCCACAACTTGGCACTGCTTTGATTTGCTATCAATATAAGTTTCCGCATGCGTGTCAGATTTTTTTGCAAACACTGAGTGTTCCGAATAAACCTGAAAGGCCCCGAGTTCATTCTAGTGAGCACCATCGAGCACATGTCGCATCTCTCAGATGGCCCATTACCTGTGCGGCATTGTTTCTGATGTACAGTTTCACCATGCTGAGGCAAAGTGGCACGTTATGATGACGTCTATCGATTCTTCGGCAACGAACATGTGAATTGATAAGTTTTGCTGAAATTGGGAGGAATGTTGTTTGACTTTGAGGTTGCAGTCTGTGATGCAAAATGCGTTTGGACAACAAATTTTTTGGGCCATATGCAACTGATCAACCGGAAACCAATCAACCTTTGGTGGACGTTTTGGAATCCGTCGAATCCTTGACGTCTATTCGTTTGACCGGATTAGAGTAGCCGCATGTAGCCGCAGCCTGTTACATCATGTTTTCAGCTCTGACTCCTCATTTCAATTATATACGATATAACTATGCTATTATCGTATGATATTCATTTTGTCCCACATAGCCTATTTGCACTCACCACTTCTAGCAATCACACTCAGGAAATTGCGGCCCCTTGAACCAGCTGGGTGGCATCGGAGCTCACAGCTGCTCGGTTTCGGAGCTCACGGGCTGCTCGATGTTCCGCGAAGGATCCGGCGGTCGTGGACCGAGGCTTCGAGGATTTCGAGCTCTTGCGGCGCTTCGCGGAGGCGCCCTGGGAGTTTCAAGAGCCTCACTTCCCACAGGAGGAAGCTGACAAACCGCCACTGGTTGAACTGAATGAGAGTGTGGGAAAAGAGGAAGTCTGGGAAGAGATGGGAAGGGTGGGATGTTTCAGTTTGCAGATCGTAGATGCGCCATGGGGACCGGACGGACGGGCATAAGACTTGTGTTTGCAATTTGGATTGGCATGACAAGCATCAGTTTGGTAGAGGAGGGTCGCCTTTTTGATGTGTTTCTTTTCAGTCCAATCCATCCCTTCATGCGAAAGGTACTGTAGGTGTTAATTCCAGTCGTTGGCACGGTCTTGTGATGATTTTTGAGGTGAAGCGGTTGGCGGAAGCCTTCGGCTGTTTTTGTTCTCCCGGTGACGGGCAGGTCAAACAGGGTTCAGCACTTGGAACATCTCAACATTGTCTCAACATGTCTCAACGTGAAAGAATGTCTCGAGTGCCGACTGACAGCAAGCCTGTGGAGATGAGTCAAGAAATGGTTAAACAATAAACGAGTTCCAGTTCATGTTTTCATTAGGGCCCAGCACAAACAACAAATGCCGTTTTATGGTAGGTGGAAGATGGAGGATTGTATGTTTATGGTGATTGTTTTGATAAGGCATATGCGGCATATGTTGGTTAAAAGTTAATCAGCCATATGACACGGACTGTGGACACTGTGGATCTGTGCGCACCCACTACTGAGGAATGCAGCACCTCGGATGCAAAGATCCGCCCCCATTGACGCCCTACGGTAGAGGAGACAAGTGCAGCCTCCAAGCATCAGCGCTGTAGCTACCAACGTTTGAGGCTTTTGAAGGTCGTTGTTCATTTTGTTCCTCTAATTTGATGTGTGAGGTTTGCCCGTGGTGATGCTTTGCTTTGCAGCCAAGGCTCCTCCTTGGGAGGACTCGCGAGTCCCAAGCCGCTCCGAGGACGGAGATGGTCTTCGCCACTTTTGCAAAGATGACCGGATTAGACACAGCTAGCCATCGACGTAGTTATATAATGTCGACACCGGATTTATAAACACCCCCCAAGGTTTGTTATTTGGGGGTCAAACATGTGCAATTCGACTCTTTTGGGGGGAGGAGTAAATCAGGAGAGATCACCAAGATATCAGGAAATCTCTTCAGATTTCAAGTCAACCAAATGAATCTGAACAGATTCAAGCTTGCTTTTCCCGGACCGCCGCCACTCTTCTTGGCTTTAGCGCGGCGTGCGCCAGAACTAGTCGCACCGCATTGGGTAGTGTGGTGTGGTCCTTTCAACCTCTAATTGCGGTACATTGAAACTCCACCGTCTGGACTTCAAGAACATCACAAGAAATAACAGTAGCAATTAAGAGAAAGGATTGTTTGGATTCAAGCATTAAATTGGCCATGTTCATGGCAAGATGGGCAAACCCTAATAAAGTAAAACGCTTTGGGGCTGAAGTGTTCGAGTTTGTCCGCCGCTTCAGTCTGTGTGCAAGCTTGACCCCCTGTAAGCCACACCATGTTTGCAGGCTAGCTTTTGCCAATTGCAAATAGACAAACAGCAAGCCCCGGCAAATTCTCAAAAGCACTGTCAGCCGGAAAAGATGCGACAGCAGCACTCGTAGTCTTGCTTCACAGGCTGCCGGTACAACTGCTAGTCACTCGGGCTTTGCCTTCCTGACTTTCTTTGCTGGCAGTTTGGTCTTTGGTTTGGATTTCACAGTGCGTTTTGGCTTTTGCACTCTGGAGGAAGCAGGCTTGCTGGTAGGAGTGTCCTGCTCGTCGCTTGTTGGCTCGGCGCCAGGCCCAAGCTTGTCCTTGCACTTGTTGTGGCCGCCGCTGCTGCTGCTGCTACCAATTCTGCGGCTTGCTGTTTCCCCCAAGACTTGAAAAGGGATTTTTGGAAAGATTTGTTGAATTGATATTCTTGGGATTTTGGAGATGTGTGTGGCTGGGTTTGTGAAGGATGGGACGAGGCAAGTGGCTGGGACCAAAGAGGCATTTGCCACGCAGACGGAAAATTTCAGAGTGCCTTGACATGCCTTCACCATGCCATGGGGATAATAATCAAGAATATTGTTGAGGTGGGGGTGTGCAGCAAGTGGAAAAATGAGTGGACCGCTGCACATATCCGCCAATAATGAGTTTAACTGGATGGGCAATTCCAAAGGTTTGAGCCTACCATGAGGCAGCAAGAGATATTAGGAGTGCAGTGGTTTGAGTTTTGAGTTATTCGAGTTTGGTCAATGATTGGAGTTATGAGCCCTCTGGAAGGTCGGTCTGAGGTACTATGTGGGATGGGTCCAAAGGCAAGAAAGACAATTAGTATTGAAACAACAATTGCACCAAAAACGGTGGACCAAACTAATTGGTGGGGCGGCGCAAACGTTGGGCCGGATTGGGCCAGAAGGTTGCCGGATTAGGCGTTGAATATTGGAGGCCCAGGGGCGGACCAAACTAACAAGGGGGTTATGTGGATCCCATGTCCCGACATTATATAGATTTAGATATTGGAAAGAAACCTGTGAAGCAAATCTATATAAACAACCATGTTGCAGCGGTGTTTGTGTGTGTTTGTGGGGGCGGGGGGAGTTCCTGGCAGGTAGACTGGTAATGTTTGAGCTGGAATTGGCACAGAGTTGACCCACTGGCGGAACAGAATCTTTGACGATTCCAAGGTACTTGCCCACAAAGCGCAAGCAAAGTAGAAAACACTGCCACCACAACAACAAGAAACATCACCCCTGACCTAACCTCTATCGCTACGATTAACGCAAAAGACAGCATCCTGGCATACTTCCTTTCCTTGCCCTTTTTTCCTCCAATTTTTGCAGTTGTTTTGCAGTTTTCCCTTTCCAAAACATGCAGCGCAGCTTGCGCCTTCAGCGCTTCGCAGGAGCTGGTGAAGCTGCCGCGTTCGCGCTTACGCAAGAGCGCATCCTCGCCCACGCTCCGCGCGCTGGGAGACCTCGCCAACCTGCCTGGGCCCATGTCCCGGAGCCGCCCGGCGAACGGAGTGAGGTGGGAAGGAAGGAGTGGGTTGCTGGATTGAAGAGTTCGGAGTGGGAGCACGGGGTTAGTAGATGCCGGTAAATGAGGTGGAGTGAATAGAGGAGAGGGAGTTGGAACTGCAAAGATGTCGATGCATGCGGCATGCTGACTGAACGGCCAAGTCATGCCATTGCCATCATTCCATGTTTGATTGTCAAAGACCAATTCAACCAATTCTTCGGACGAGGATTTCAAGTCCAATCTTATCACGAACAATTTTCACTTGTTTGTTGCAATGATCGCTACTGCATTATGCAATTTGTTATAATCGCTTATTGACGAGGGTTCATGATGCTGTTTGAGGAGATGCCTCTCAAGGTGCCCAACAAATGTGATGATACCCACAAGCTGGTTAATTATATAGAGAATCCGAGCTTGTATTTTGTGTGGTCAGGTGGGCATTGGCGTCACTGTGCACCTTGCCCTTTGTGCAAAACTGGTTATATATATATATATATACGTATGTATATGTATATTTGCCCATGCTCTTTAGGTGGCAGTGCCATCAGGGCTTTAGGTTGATCTCTGTGGGACTTGGATCATTCACCATGGCCTCATCGACCAAATTCCATCAGTTTATAGCTCCATAGTATGCTATCTTCATGTTGACTTCAGCCTCCCAGTTGCAAGAAGCCCCCGGCGGGCAAAACGAGCGCCCGCAAAGCTTTCGGCCAAACCAAGGCCAAAGTTTCTGCTTGGACCCCAGCGAAGATAGCTTTTGGATGCTTTTGGCGTTTCGGATATGGGTCGCCTTCTCATGCAGTGCACACCCTCCTAAGTAGAGCAGTTGCTGCAGCGGTCCGCAGTGCTCTAAGATCGGGTCTCACGTGCTATGTTGGTGTGGATGCCCGAGGTTTGTCGGATGTGATATCTCAATCGCCGCGGACCTCCGAACCTGGGGACGACCAGGATGCCCACGAGATTTGCCTTACAGGTGCGCACCCTGATGCACCGGTTTCCCTCCACAAGGCCATTTAGCCTCCTCATGCGGAGGAGACTGCGCTTGACTTGGTCGCAGGTTTTAACATGGTATGAATATGTATGAATCGTATTGATTGGGCTTGTCCTATTACCTGTAACAGTCGGTCAACAAGAACATCACAATTTAAACCATCATCATCCACTGTCGCCTTGGCAATAGGATATGACCCAAAGTATTGAGTTACTGAGGTATCAGACTTTATCAAGATCTAAAGCTTCAGGACGAATGGAACATACAGTAGGCTCACCCACACACCAGCTACACGGACTGCCACAGGGTTATGTTTCCACGTTTTCGCCGCATAAGAAAAAATACACCGAGGGCTCCGGGCTTTGGCGTTTTTCATGTTCTTTTTCCTCCAAGGGACGCTACTAGGGTCTCCTGGCATCGCTACTAGGGGCTGGTGTTTTCTATGTTTTTCATATGTTTTTTCCTCCAAGGGTCCCAGCGTTTCTCCTCCGCCAGGCATGGATGATTCTCCGCGCTGATGGTCTGTGGAGGCGTCCGGCGTCCCGGTTTGGTCCACCGGTGCGACCGACGGAAATGGATTATGGCATATTATGGCTTGAAGATTGGGCACTACGAAAGTCCACGTGGTCCAAGTTACTAAGAGTCTAAGAGGTTGGGAAAGAGATTAAGGTGCAAGAAAGCCCGCCTTGGGAGTTGGACAGATGGAAAGTTGATCCACAGCCAATGAAAGAGGGAAAGAGATCACTCAAACTCCCAAGCAAGCATGAAAGTGGGATGTTTACACATTGGACCCTGCCACCCTTCTTCTCTTGGGGCTCCGTCAGCATGGTCAAGCATTTGAGTGCACCAATTGAAACAGTCCGATGAGAACCTTACGAAGTTTTCAGACCCAGGGCACTATGGAGCAGTCCCACTTATATACATGTATAATACATGTATCCAGAACTTCCCATCCTTTTGTTCATCTCTTGTCGAACGGTGTTGAAATATGTCCGTGTTTATGAACGATTTCATTGATGGGTTCAGTATGCCCATGTTCATATGCCCATTGATGGTGTGCCTGCATGTCTCGGAGCGAGGTCGTTCTTTCACGGAGTGCAGCGGGTGAGAAAGAAGCAGCGGAGTGCAGGGACTGGTGGCTGGTTGGATGCAAAGTTGGGGCCTGGAAGCCTGATTCTATGATGTTAATCGATGTGTCAAATTGACCACAGAGTCATGGAGCCACCGAAACGACAGAAACCCAATTGGAGTTGTGCCATGTATCATATGGCATTTGGCCAGCGAGCTTGATTTGGATGGAATTCCAAGCTGCATCGACCTCCACCCAGGTGGACATGCGACGGTGTGTCGCCAACGGCGGCGACGGTTTCGGATCAATGGCACCGGATGGGACGGATGGGCAGAGAAGGGGCCGAGGATGCAAGAAAGCATTCACTCATGATGGAGAAAAACATCAACTCTTCTGAGGGTAGGTGGGGTGGGCCAGGATGGTCAGGATGGTGTCACACTTTTAGGAATCTTTAGGAGAGCTAAATCACCACAAAAACATGTGCAAAGTCTAATTAAATGCCACACCTTGATCTTGGCTCAGTCTGCCAGCCCATCGACAAGAACTGAACCACATGCATTGAAATCAACGAAAGGTGCTCGACTTCTATGGGAATCAGACAACATTGATTAACGATGAATTTGTGAATATTTGTGAGCTAGAATCTAGGATGATCATGGATGATCTACATAGGTGTGTTTTGAATTTGGGCAAAATTCGGCAATCACCATGTCCAGAATGACCGAAACCCTGGGACGAAACTGCTCAATGCCGTCGGATCAGCAATTCACGAGAGTTCTGATGAACTGCACCGACGCTGCAGCCATGGATTTCTTAAAGTCTTGGTTTGGGCAGACTGAAGAGCCCACAGAATCTGAGCCTTGGAGTCCCTGCGGGCCCTGCGGGGAAGTGTCTCGGCTGGGTTATCAGGAGGGGGCAGATTCTGTTGTTGCTGTACTTTTCTTAGTTTGTGTCAAGGTGTCGTACTACCATTGTACGCTATACTGACTATACTGAAGTTGGTTGAGGAGTTCATTGGAGGTCCATGGTCACCTTTGGACAAAAAACTCTGTGCAGCATGTGAGGGTTGGGAGAGGGTGGATGGTGAAGAGTTGTGTCCGTATGCTTCTCCGTATGTGGTTGTCGATCTAAAGGTCCTAGTCAGCAGTGTGTATGACGATGACCCGGAACATATCAAAATCTCATTTGGCGAAAGTTTTTTCTCGAGTTGGCGAAAGTAATTTTTTTTTTGGCGAAAGATCTGGCGAAAGATTAAATATGTACTTTTGTATGAATGTTCATTTGCTTTCTGAACAGCTGGTGGCAGTGACTCAGAAGCTAGATGAGCTGTGGAAGTTAGATAACCTGCTGCTGCTGCGGCTGCTACCACTACCACTACCACTACCACTACCACTACTACTACTACTACTACTACTACTACTACTACTACTACTACTACTTATTACTACCTACTACTTACTACCTACTACTTACTACCTACTACTTACTACCTACTACTTACTACCTACTACTTACTACCTACTACTACTACTACTACTACTACTACTACTACTACTACTACTACTACTACT